TTCAGGTTTTCTCACTTTCAAAATGTTAACACAAGAAATCATTTTTGAGTTGGAAAGTTTTGATTTTTTTCGTCTTTCGTATAATTTTCGTAGTTTTCTTGATTGAAGTTCTGAAATTAAAGTTTAAGTATGGTTTTGTAGAGCATTTCGAGGCGCATCTTTAGGGTCCTAAAGAAATACGAGTAAAATAGAAAATACTGAGAGGGTCATTTATTCTGCCGCACCCGTTAGTAAAAAATGTGGACTCATTTTTATTACTTAATTAATCTGTAAAAACGATAAGAAATAGCCAAGCTGAATATGAATAATGGATTGCCAGTGAGTACTATGTATAATAATGGTATCACTTTTGCTTGTGTTCTTGCTATGTGTTAGATGAACGAGTTAGTTTGCGGGCGAAACTTTCGGCGCGCACGGAATATAAGAATAATAAAATTTTGATAAGATCTGTTTTGTTCGCATGTGTCACGGTTCCATAAATGCTAGTGAGTATTTTTTGAAGAACTTTTGATAGAAACTCTTTCCAACGGTGAAAACTGCAGCTCTCTGTCTCTGTATCTCTTCTATCAAAAGTTATTCAAAAAATACTCACTCGAATTTTTTCAAAATTAGTATGAATACAACCGGCACATAACCAGCCGACGTAGGTTTTAAAGATAATTTAATATTATGATATTAGTTGAAGTACGATTAAATAGCATAGAAAAACAGAAGCGTTTTTTTCTCTATCAGATTATATAGACGAAAGTTACTTGAAGCCTACTATACGGTATTAAAATGTCACTGCTCGTACTTTTGGTATGTCCTAGGTAATATAACTGAAACGACCGACAAGTTTGTTTAAAATATTATATGATTATTGAAATTGTGTTGACGAATATTTATGTTGTTTATCATATAATTTCTGGTATACAACGGATTGATTTTTCGAATAAAAATTATCATTTCAATTGTTATAGTTAATACGATCGAGGACCTTGAAAACGGTGCTATTAATTGTCTGTTAAATGTCAGTTAATAGCTAATCAAATGGTCATTTTTACATCTTATAGATGGGAACATTTAATGCCTTAAAAGGACATTTTTTAATAGGCTGATAATTGTCCGAAAATAGGCAGTTAATAGCATCTTGTAATGGTCGTTTTTGCGCTATTACTGGCCGTTAACGGTCAATTATCGAAGGTTTTCTTTGATTAATTGTTTTGATTAGTACCACAAATATAGGGATTTCCAAAACTTTTAACATTTTTGGTTCCTTACATCCACAGTGCCATCAATCACACCAGAACCAGCGGCAACTTGCACGAGTTTCGGTGGCTCGTACAATCGGGGAAGTGAAAAATTTGCAAATTTCTTCTAACTTTCATGATATATGTGGGTGAAACGTATAGCCATTGTACCGTTCTTGTGTCAATCGCAAAAAATAAATAATTTTTTTGTATTGCACTGGCCCTCTTAAGAGTTTTTCAGTTTTAAAGTCCGGATTCTTAGCCACACCCGTCGAATAAACGAGCTTTCTATCGTGAATCGTTTGCAAGATATCTTAACTGCACTGTCGGTGGTACCTGTTTCCTGCGTCATCTATTGACTTTTGTAATGAATGCAACGTGATGTGACGCTAATTACTCTGAAGGATTTATTGCACAACCATTCTGCTTTCGATGTTTATAACTGAAATGATTTAGCTCCATTTTCTTAGTGAATTTACGTAATCGACGGTGCTACAAACAAAATGACTTTTTTTTGTCCCGCTACCAACCTTTGTCACTAACTCTAATATTATTTGATTTAAACTGTATCTAAATTAAGGAATCGATAGAAGAGTAGAAGGCATACCTTTTGATAAAAAGAGGAAATGTTTAAACCACTTTCTTGATGGAAGAAATTGCATATTACTTTTAGAAAACATTATTTTCACGATAAATGTACTGTCACTTTTTCAATTTTATTTTGGCAATATCGCTTGAACTGTTGATCGTTTGACTTCAAACGTTTATCCTTTTATTCTGTTGTGGTTTTGTTCATGTAGTGAAAATTTAAACTTGACGTCTCTGATCACTTCTGAGAAAACTGATTCCTATTGTCAAATTTTCTACGTGACTTGTCTCACCAAAACGAGAAAATAAAAAAAGGCGTTTTGTTTCATTTTTTTCATACTAAAAAACGGGTTAAAACGCGTATTTTTATTTTTTCGTTTTGGTGAGACAAGTCACGTAGAAAATTTTGGCAATGGGTTTTACTGCGAAAATGTCCCATCATCATGCAATAGCAATAACTCCATGAAAATCTGAAAGAATCTCTACTTATCAGAGACCAGCACAGGCCGGGGTTTTGGTCGGACCGGACCGGATCAGAAAATTTTACAGAGTGGTCGAGCCCAGCCGGGCTTTGGCCGCCAAGTATTTTGGTCGGGTCAGGCCGAACTCAGAATTTTTAAGCATGGGTGGATTTGTAATCTATGTGCATACTCAGTATCGAGAAATCATAAAAATATAAATATTAGCTTGAGAAATACATTTACACCGCTTAGCCAGCAAAAACATTACAGATGCAAGAAGAAAATCATGCAAAGTGTTTCGTCCTAACGTACAATGGCTATATGTTTCACCTATATATCATATACCAGTCATGATTGCAAAATAAAAGGATGAATGAAATAGCCATTTGAAATGTCAGTTTTTTCTCTGTATACTTTGAATAGAAGAATGGGGGTTATCAATAGTCATTTAACTATGACAGTTATTTTACATTTTAGGATGCACAGTTAAATGACTGTTTTTTGCTATTATAACAGCCAGAAAATTTATGAACAGTGACTGTTAACTGCCTTTTTTTCAACATTTTGAGATATGTTAAATGCCTTTTCTCGAGCCTTTATCACATAACAGACAATAAACTGCAGACTTAGCGAGCTAATTCTTTCGCCATTCGACGTGTAACCAAAAGCTGTACCTATGATAAAAAAACGGAATTTTTCTATCACTAGCGCAATTAATTAGAACGATTTTTATAGAGCGTAACAGCGTCAAAAGAAAAGTCCCTAAATTTTTAGTCTTTTTCTTATTAAACTGGCGATTCTTTTGAAGTTATTGGTGCAATAACAAACTCGCTTTGGCAAATCTTGCAGAGTTTTTCACGGGCTATTCAATGAAAAAAAGATTAGGCAGCTAGAATGACGTTTTCATTAATGAGTGCAAAAAACAAAACGTAACGGCGTCAAACCTTTTTCTTTTCTTTTCTGTACCGTGTTTTTTCACACCGATCTTAGGAACCGGTTGTGTTTTTTTTAGCTTTCTATCATGAATCTAAGTGGTTTGAGTGACAAAGTATTTTCATTTAGGGTTGTGTCGAAACTTTTCACGGTTCTTTCCTTGAATTCCGCCACGTCTTAAGCAATTAAGGTTTATTTCTGGACATTATGAAGAGGCTCTTAGCCACTAGAATCGGTTAATGGATGATAACCAAAACTAGTGTTGATCTAGCTCGGGACGAAGACCCGGCCTCTAATCGAGCTAGAATTTTTCAAATTTCTCTGTTTTTCAAGCGATTCAGCATGTAAAATAGATTTTTTTTTTTTGGTATTTTTTTTTCGTTCTTTTGGTTTTGCTTGATTATCTGATCTTTTTCTACCTAAAACACACTCACACGATAAAGCCTGAATAAAAAGAAAAAAATCTCACTCACGCAAACAAAGAAGCGACAATACTATATCAAAAAATCTTTTGTCAGTTATATCTGATAATTCTCTTTCGAGAACCTTCCGAATAATACTTACATTCAATAGCTTTATTATCAATTACTTTAATACAATGAGTTTTTAACGTTTCCGAGACGGCTTTCACTACTGCAAAAATATTTTGAAGTTTATTTTTTGATGCATCAATGTCATTTTTAGTAAGTTCAATTAATGTTATTTTATTTGTTTTTTGTTTTGCAATACGAACAAAATCTTCTGCGGATCTGCAGGTCTGACCTGCCAAAACCGCTCCCCAAACTAAACATTTGACTGTTCTTCCAATACCGTCTACAACACCTTTCCCGTGGGAAGTTGCAAAAAAGTTCCACGTTAAATCAAACGAAAAATCTCGAGCTAGCTGTACTAAATTTCGAAACATGAATCGTTGCTTGAATTGTGAAGCTGCACTATCCGAAAATACATCAATAATTTCTAATTCTGGAATCAACAGTTTGATTTCTGTAAAAATAATTTCAAACGCCGAATTAACAACATATTTATCGTGAGTTAGATCATTCGTAGGCAAACAGAAAGAAAAACCCTGACCATCAGCCTAAACATAAACTATAAAAATGGACAACGTCTTTGTATTCCAATGGGCACTTTGTATTTCATCCTGATCTTTCATTCCAAAATTCTCAGAAAAGTCACACTAAACGACAACACGCGTTTTTGAAACTAACGATTTCACTTTTTCAAAATATTGAGACTGCTCTCTCTTGACATAGACATGAGACAAAAAATACTCGCGTTTTGTCTTGAGCACTTGGATTGCCTGAATGATGGTTCCGTTGAACTCCTGTTTTACAGCTCGCCCATGTAAATTCACCCACTGAGACCAAGAAATTTGAGACTGACCGTTGAAGACTTTATTTTCAACTTTTTCCACGAAATTTTCATCACATAAGGGATAAGAAGAAAACATACATTCCTCATTCAATGTATTACACACTGGTGAATCTGTAAAACTTTGTAATGAACTGCAAGCTCCTCCTCTAATATATTTATCAATTGCTTTCAATAAAAGATGAACATTTTCGTGGTAAATACAGAGACACATTCGATGAGACAAAGCTGCTTTTGGAACAACGAATGGAGGACGCAACTCTCCGAACGACGACCGACTGAAATCAACTCCCTTATTTTCCTCTCTAAACAATTCGAAAATTTCACGCAAACTACTGAATAAAATTCGTTTTTGATATGCATGTTTTTTCCCCTGATCATCCTTCACAACAATCGTATCTCGCTTTCCCGGCAACTGCTAAGAAATATCATCACGAACATAAAACTTTTGAACCGCCTCTTTCAACTTTTCTGGATGCTGAGCAGTGACACGCTCATGCGTAGATGGAGCAATCAATCCCAACTTTTTTGCAATATGCTGGACAACAACCTTCTTTTTTCCTAAACATTTTGGAAGTGCCGAATTAACTTTTTTGATACCTTTCTCAAACGATTGACGACTTTTAAATGCAACAGGTTGAGATTTACTAATTAATCGTTTTGTTTTATTATTAAGATACTTTTTTTGACGTAAATTATTCTTTGTACGCAGTGCTGCTAATTCCACCACATTGAGTTTCGTTTTCGTTGCTTTTTTATTATCACGTTCTTTTTTAAGAAAATTTTCGTATTTTACTTTATCTTTTTTCATTTTCTCGCGATATTTTTTCATACGCTCCGCCGCAGTCTTACCCATATTGTTTTATATGTGTAAAACAGACTGCTTTTAATACACTACATTATAAGGGAATAATACTTTATCATTGAAACTGTATATTACTGTACTACTGTATTACTTGAGTCTGTACTTCACTCTGATGATTCATAAAAATTCATCATCACCCACGTGGTACTACTAATTTCGTTTAATTATACTTAGTGCGCCAATGACTCATTTCATAAAAAGAGTATTAGATATACAAATAAAACTTGTTATTTACACAAAATCTCTTTAACTATACGTCAGATAAATTTTCTTCTGCAGAAAGGGACCATTTACATATAGTAACGAACATAAAATGTGAAGGAACCATCTTAATCAGATCAACTGTTAAAAAACAGGTGCCCGTTACAAACTTTATTGAAATTTATTTTGGAGCTTTTTGTGTAAATACCGGTATACTAAAAGCTTAAGCTTGGTTCGTGCTCGTGCTATAGCTAGCTATAACTGCGAGACAGGCAAAAAGGAATGAGAATGATAAATGTTACAAGAAAGAGTCGGTTAAAGGAACCGAGAACGATTTTGATTCATTTTCAGTCATTTTCTTCGTGCACTGAAGGCTCATTTTTTCTTAAGCAAAATTATTTTATTTTTTCTACTTTAACACATTTTATTCCATTTGAGGATTGACTCGTGGGTCAATCTCGACCTAATTCGAGCAAGCCTATGATCAGACAGTACCTCCGCCTATCGAAAAGCACACTAACAAAATCATCAGTTCTAAAATTTCTTAACAACAATAAGTCTGATGAAGATATAAAAGAAGAACAAGACAGACCACCAGCAGTAATGCAACATACAGCTGTGGATGTTGATGCACTTACTAGATGCTCGGCAAATGGCACTTAAGAGCAGTTAATTGATTTGAGTGAAGACAATGCTGACAATGAAAACGGCTATCTAACATTGATGTTCAAAAAATCAAAACGAAACGAAAAAAAACAAAAAATAAAGAGCAATAGCACATTACCACCAGTAGAAAAAGAAGAAAATGGAATCAAGCTGTTAATACCAACATTAGTGTTAAAGTTTTCTTCCATTACGTTATTTTTAAATGTTATAGCATCAAATAGAACATCAGTACAAGGGTCTTAGAAGAGCTAAAACACTTTTGATAAAGATTTACAATTTATATCTCCTAGTTATAACTCAAGAAATGAATTACTGTCAATTGCTGTATCGGTTAAAACTTTCTCATTGATAAACAATTCGTAAAACTTGGTCAAGGACATTCTTAAACAAGGAACAGTGAACAAGGAACAAACAGTACTTTTTCAGGCCATTTACCATCGCAACTGTCTTTAGTATTTTTCAAGTTCGATCCACTAATTGACGTCAAAAAATTAAAAGAGCAGGTGCAAATGTTTTAGCCTTCAGTAGCTGCTATTGTACCACTTCATCCTGTTGCAATTATTGCAAAGGGTACATTTTCTTAAGTTTTGGAAGATAGATGAAATGATTGTTCTTTCGAAACACCGATCTCATCCCACGTGTCATAATCTACGTCCATCAGACGTAGACGAGAAACAATTTTATCATAGACTGTTACGATAGATGCAAAGAAATGTTACTGTGCTAGTTGAACAGTCTGGTTTTTTATCACGCAGAAGACTGCAGGTCCTTGCTCGGCCACATTCAACATGTTCTGTCCCGCAAGAATCCCCGCATTAGGAATCTTTGTGGATTTTAAATCCGCACTCGATTAGTTATGGCATAAGGGTCTCATAGTCCGATTAGAAGAGCTTGGAGTGTCATTGCCATATCAGCTCTGGCTGTCCAATTGCCTCAATGAGCGTTGTGCCTTTGTTCAGAACAAAGGGTAAAGATCGGTATTGCTTTCGATCTTCATATTTTTGTTAGTTATTTGTGCGTCTGTTTCTCCGAAACACAACAGAACAAGGTTACCTCTAGATATAACCGTCTTCTATCAATAGTTTCTAAACTACCCCTATTTCTGATATACAGTTTTTTTCTTTTGACTGGTGAACTTTCTTTTCTGGGCTGATTAGAAATTTATTGGCGGTGGTTTTTGTGTGATTGAATGTACGTACGAAAAGGGTCTCAACATATGAGCCAACTATCAGGCACTTTCATTTTTGACCGAGAATTCCAAAAGGGTAGTCGGTATGATTTTTTTCCTCAATTATGTACGTCGGTGAAATTATTTGCTTCCTTTCAGACAATCCGTTATTTTTCTATATGTACGTGTCCATGTCCCTTCTTTGCTATGTATGCGAATCATATATACTTCTTTTTTTGACATGTACACGATAACATTAGATAGTTTCTCAACGATGTACGCGATGGAACAAACGATTTTCTGTATATGTTGTTCATATTTTTTTATGTTGCTAGAGCCCATAAAGAGTTAGACACCTTTGATTTGCAAATAAAATAAAATAATAATGATTTCGATTAGACTCTTTTAGCTCCTTCAGTGTGTATTAGTCACAATGAGAAACGTGTCGTGGTTGAATGATTTATTAAAAGATGAAAAGTGGGAATTACGTATGTCCAATGATGATTTTGCTGTTGCACTTGTTAATGAATTAGAGTAAGGCAAACGTATAAGACAAAGTCTTAATGCTGCTGATTAGAAGATGTTTGTATAGGTGTATTTTCTGTCTAAAATCTAACTCAATTCGGATGCGAAGTATGAGAAATTCGAGTGATGTGCATCACGATGTATTTGTCTCAAGTTCATTTTCTGGACCTTCTCTCTCCACTGTGCCCGTTCAGGATATCACAGTACATTGACACTTAGTAAAGTTCTAGTATAAAACAAAAAGTGGAACAGACTATTGAATCTGAGGTAGTGAAAAGCCTCAGTTGTTGTCATTTGACCATATTCACCGAAAACAAAGGTTCCCTGGACGCATTGTCACTGTCACCTTTTGAAGTTCGATTTCGATAAAACTTAGCTGTTCTACTATTCTGAGAGAGAATAGCAACACACGCATATAGACAGACTATATCAATCTTTAAATAAAACAGAATCAAATGTCTGTCAAATATACAGCTACTTCTTATTTTATGATGTGGTATGAGATTTATTTTTCTTCCCAAGGCATATATCTGCTGCTTTTAACTCTTTCGCAGCAGAAGCGTGACGAAAAGAATATGATTCTCGAGGGAAGCATACAGCGATATTGGAAGAAAAATCTTTCTTCGTATTGTAAGTTCGGTTTAATACTGGTATCTCACGAACAAAAAAAGTGGAAACGAAGAGTTTAGTATTTTCGGGCGAAAAATGCTAACAAATAAATATCCTCGCAAGTGTAGAAGCATGTAACGGTGGCATATCTATAATCTGGGTTCAATAGCGAATCGAAACAGCGAAAAATGGAATTTAGTATTGCTCACATATATTTTGCATCGTTCATAATATGCGCACTGCAAAATGAGAAAACAAACGAAAACAACGGAAATTTCGTTCAGTTGTTGTTCTTTTTGTCTAGTTGTGATCACTTTTATTCTATTTAAAGATTGCATCATCTTTAGCTATTTCTGTCTATTTTTTTCTTTTGTTACTTGTCTTTGTTTTCATGTCTGTGTTTTCTTTTTGTATATATATATCAGGTTTAGTACGTCAAGTTTCATGTCGTGCTATTTTTAGATTCGTTTTACATATAAAGCGCGCAACCAGCAGTCGCTTTTCGAGGCTAAACGTCAACAACTATGATCGAACCGTTGGCTTCAAATAATGAACGTACATATTTAACGTGGGAAAATATATCAGCTCACGTCGATGTCAAAGCACCGGCATCATCGTCACCAGGATTTAGTGGAACATTAAAGAAGCATCTCGGCTTGAATTATATGCAAACAAAAAAGCAATTACTCTATGATCTATCCGGTTATGCTATACCGGGTAACATCCTGGCTATTCTTGGCTCGTCAGGCGCAGGTTCGATATCTTGCGTGTCTTCTGAATTTTTTATACAGAGAACTATGTGTTCTAGGCAAAACTACCCTCCTAAGTATTCTAAGCGGTAGACAGGGAAACAAAATTGATGTCCAAGGCAGTTTGCATATGAATGGGGTTAATGTGATGAAAATGAACAAGTTGATCATGACTAAATGCGGTTATGTTGAACAATATGAATTGTTCATTGGAACAATGACGGTCAAAGAGCACTTGACATTCCAGGTAACTTCTTATATCCCAATCATCTGTTTGAAGCCATTAGTGCAAATGACATGAGAGTCTACACTTGTGTTTGACTGATCTTTCGTCTTTCTGTTCAGGCGATGTTACGTATGAAATCGACGATAAGTGATTCTGATCGACACATTCGTGTTCAAGAAGTCATAGCAACATTAGATTTAGAACAATGTCAAAACACAATTATCGGTATACCCGGTAAACTGAAGGGTATCAGCGGTGGTGAATTGAAACGTTTGACATTTGCTAGTGTCATTTTGAATGATCCACAGCTATTGATTATTGATGAACCAACATCGGGTCTCGATTCTCACTTGGCCAAATCCATTGTTTATACGATAAAGAAGTTGGCTCTTAGCGGGAAAACCATCATCACCGTCATACATCAACCAACATCAGAAATTTATTCGGCAATCGATAGTATTTGCCTGTTAGTGGGTGGTAAACAAGCTTATTTTGGTGTGCGCGATAGTGCCATAGATATGTTTTCCTCATTGGGACGACAGTGTCCAAATGATTACAATCCAGCTGAATATTATTTGACACAATTAGCGTCCGCAACATCGAGTAATGGGGATGGTAAAAAAGACAATAGTGAATTTGTTGACAAATGCATCAGGGCATTTCAACAATCAACATACAATCAATTACTAATGGGAACAATCACTGACATTAAACAAATACCCTACAATGAACTGTCATTTGCAATGAAATACAATGAATTTATTTCATCGGAATCACAAAAAGAATCAGAATTAGATTCGAATTTTTTTCGACAAATGAAATGGTTATTATGGCGAGCGTTCAAGTCGGGTGCGCGTGATCCCGTTCGCACAACAAGTCTATTGCTAAGATCATTGATTCCTGCAATGATTGTTGGTATTATCTATTTTCAGTCGGCAAAGACTCCCCAAACGGTTCAAAATTCAAATGCTATTGTACACATAACTCTGGGTACTAACTGTATAACAAATTCATTTGTGGTGCTAGCCACATTTCCAGCGGCAATGAAAATATTCTTGCGCGAACGTAAGCGTCGTTTATATAACACTGGTGCATATTATCTAACGAAACTCATCGCTGATTTGCCATTTTTTATCTTGATGC